CACTCTTTCATTCCAGCCCCGGAGATCCGGCCTCCCCGTTCCTAATAAAAGGCATAAAAACCCTGGAATGCCACCCTCACTGAGGGGCACCCCATCCTCCCTGGATTAAACCACCTGTGGATGAGAGCGGGGGGAGGTAGCAGGGAGGGAAAAAGAGATGACTTTAGCGCACCTGCACGCCGCAGGAAGTAAGGCCAGAGACAGCGAGGTGCGCCAGAAGCGACCGGCCACACGCGCCTGCACCCCGCGCTGCGGTGCAGGCGGGAACAGCTTTTCTGTCTCACCGACCGAGTGACTCGGTCTCAGTCTCGATTCTGATCTCTACCTCTCTCGTGTTTCTTCCCCTCTCCGCAGTAGGCGTCCGCGGAAGCTCTGAGGACCGAGGGAGGGAGGACCCTGCGAACGCTGCGACTATCCCTCGGGGCCATGGACTCGGACGCCAGCCTGGTGTCTAGCCGCCCGTCGTCGCCAGAGCCCGATGACCTTTTCCTGCCGGCCCGGAGCAAGAGCAGTGGGGGCAGCGGCTTCACGGGGGGCACCGTGTCCTCGTCCACGCCTAGCGACTGCCCGCCAGAGCGGAGCGCCGAGCTGCGCGGCGCCATGGGCGCGGCGGGCGCGCACCCTGGGGACAAGCTGGGCGGCGGTGGCTTCAAGTCATCCTCGTCCAGCACCTCGTCGTCCACGTCGTCAGCGGCCGCGTCGTCCACTAAGAAGGACAAGAAACAGATGACTGAGCCCGAGCTGCAGCAGCTACGCCTCAAGATCAACAGCCGCGAGCGCAAGCGGATGCACGACCTCAACATCGCCATGGACGGGCTGCGCGAGGTCATGCCATACGCGCACGGCCCGTCGGTGCGCAAGCTCTCCAAAATCGCCACGCTGCTGCTGGCGCGCAACTACATCCTCATGCTCACCAACTCGCTGGAGGAGATGAAGCGACTGGTGAGCGAGATCTACGGCGGCCACCACGCCGGCTTCCACCCATCGGCCTGCGGCGGCCTGGCGCACTCGGCGCCCCTGCCCGCCGCCACCGCGCACCCCGCGGCCGCCGCCCACGCGGCGCACCACCCTGCGGTGCACCACC